TGTACCTCCTGATATATGGAGGGGAGGGGGCAGAATCAGACCCAGATGATTTTAATCTGCTGGGCTGTAACACACAAGCAGCCAGGGGCTGCTCCACGTAGAGTGCAGATGTTTCTGCCCTGAGGTGGAGACGTCCGGGGGAAGGGAGGAGTGGAGAGCTGGGAGCTCCAGGGGTGTCAGCCGTCTGCCTGGGTCCGTGAGTCAACTCGCTGACGCGTGGTAAAGCCACATGCTTCAGTACAGGCAGCCTTCCCCAGCCCGCCCGCCGCTCCGTCTCCAAGAGGTGGAAGGGGTGATGCAGTCCCTACTTGTTCCCTGGCCTTTTGCAGGCAGGCAGCAAACAAAGCTGGCAAGCAGGGCAGTGGGATTATTTTACCATCTGTGCATTAAAAACTGGCCCAGGAGCTGCCGAGCTCACTTCATGCAGGACATGGCTTCTTTGGTGTGCTAATGACTCCTGCTTGCTGTCAGCTGGGGCTAGACTGGAACTGTGGATGAGGAGGAGGCAAACACATCTCTTTCCTATTTCAGCAACTGCATCCTCTTAGAGGAAAGCCAGTTAGGGGAAGAATGAGTCCATGTTTTAAAGAGTGCTTCCCACCTACTGTTCCAGGCTCCTCACCCGCCACCCAGGCAATCTGCAGCCCCAGCCAGGCAGGGAGGATCTCAGGCCCTGTGCAGCCAGCTCACCATGGGCCAGTCCCCCAGGTCCCCTGAAGGACTGGGCAAGGCCTGCCAAGGAAGGGGAGTAGCAGAAAATATTCTACACATTTCAAGAAGGAGACCTGGGACCTGGTATCTTATTCTAGAATGTAATCATGGACTTAATTGCATTTTGCTGCAGAGTTGCCTTAACATCAAGGGAAAATCAACAGGGATTGTTCAACATCAGGACTAATCTCACACATGGAACTTACTGAATGCAGGAACCATGCTTTTGCTGGCTCAAGGTGAAATGCTGGGCTAGATTCTCCTTCAGCTGCGAGAAAAGCCCTAGGCATGCTCATCCTGCATCACTCCAACTGCAAAGAGCTTCAGTTACACACATGGACCCCTTCTCTCCCTCCTACAGCAGTGTCACAATGCAACTGTGCCTCGTTATGATCAAACTCCTCTTTTATGGATATAGAAATATGTGGAAGTCTTCTACCCTCATTACAAAAATGACCCCTTAGTTGCTTTATTTTAAGAAACTACCCACAACTGGTAACAAACTGCATTTCATCTGTCACTGAAGGGAAGCTGTGACTGGCACCTGAGTGCGGCCTCAGCAACCACAAACCTGCACCTATAGGGCAGGTCCTATGCATCTAAGCAACTACAGTTACTCACCACTCCCTCAGCTCCACACTGAATCACAGGCTTGCTTCTGCTTACAAACTTGCTTGCTAACCAGACATTTAATACTATTTATGCATAGGAAGGAAATACATAATTCCTTTATTGGGATAAAAAACGATACTAAAGAGCAGGTCAAGTTCCAAATCCAGCAGTAGGTTTTAACCGATGTTCCCTTTTTTCCTCTCTTTTTTTTTCTTTTAACAGCTGTAGCTGTGCACAGATGGAAAAACATTTGGTCAGAAAGCAGCAAATTAGTGTTTTCAGGCTAGAATTCTGCTCCCACCGCTCCTCCATTTCCATGCAGCTCGGAATGCTTTATTTCTTCTTAGCACTGACATTTTTGCACACCCAATTCATGCCGTCCTTCAGATAGAGAAAGGTAATGTTAGTCAAGTGAAGGGAAGAGGAATCCCCTGATCCCACCCGACCACCATTCAGCAAGCACCATGTTCTGCCTCTTCACCTACCCCCCACCTGCACTCTGTGCCCAAAACTGCCACAGGTTAAAAAAGTGCTTCCTGGCTTGGTAGATGTTGTCACACACAGGTTATTAAATCTTTCATCTGACCATAAAAAGTATCATCGTCTCATCATGTTGCTGTGTGCAGGTCCTTTGAGGAAGGATCACTTTGCAGTCAAGGTACGTCAGCAGCAGATGAAGGCTAGGTTCCAGGTTCAGCTGCAGATGATTTGTGTAACCTCGGGCAAGCCATCTTATCTTTGAGACCGTGGATTTTAGGGGGCTGTTTGTTATACAGTCAGCTCCCTGTTAAGAATATGGCTCTAATTCTCTGCTCAGCTGTAAGCCTTGAAATCCAGATCCATGAATGACACTGCAGTAACTGGAGCTCTGTTCCTGAGGTGTGGCCCCCACAAAAAAATGGGCCCTCAGTGGTCCCAGAGAGGGTCTGAGAAGCGATGCGTGCGGTCATATTTTAAGAGGCCGATACACTCTTTAGGGTATTTCTGTAAAAATATGTGCATGACATCTCTGACCCCTGCAAGCAGGATGGTAACCCTTGTGCTGTGAATACCTGAGTCATGAGTTTATTGCTGAGATCCCAGAGCGGGAAGGGCAAGGCGACATTTCATCTGCTCCTGTCACTTATCTGTTGTGAGACATGCATGACAAAGCGCAGCACGCACCATCTCCTCATATTTGTGTCCCATCAAATCCATTACCTCTACCCTGCTGCAAGGTATCTTTGCTGACAGGGAGGCTCAGGGCAGAAAGGAAGCAGGTAGGGTTTTGGGGATGAGAGGAGGCTGGCATATCTTTGTGCCTGGAAATTGGCCAGATGTCACCTTGGAGTTCTGGAGGGGGGATTTCACTCCACTATGTTCAATGGTCATTTCTAGACCATCAGAACAACAGCTAGACCCTAAGAAAGACCAGAGCCTTTAGGCTAGCATCGCTGCTAGCCCCATGGTGGCAGAGTCCCTGTACTGCCCTTATCCCCAAGCTGGCAAAAGGCTGCCAAGGACCTCAGCTGCCCCAAGGACAGACAGCCAAAGGTACAGCATGGCAGGCCCCTGGGGTGAGCTGAGACCCACTGCCATACCTCCCATGTTGCCCCTCAGCCACGGAGGCAGTGGACACGTCAGAGGGGAGCTAAAGAGTTAAGAGTGACGAGAGGGAGCCCTCAGGGCTTAATCAGAAGCAGAGAGGTTCTCACTTGAAAATACCAATTCACCTTGATAGCTGTGCTATGTGACACTTCTTATCTGAAGGGGAGCAGCAACTTCTGAAATCAGGCTTTGTTGCTGTGTTAAATAAAGAATAAGCGAGCCCAGCTTGTGCTGGGGTGCACACGAGGCCCTACACTAATAACACTTCTAACTCTAACCTTGGGGAGGGTTGATGTCTCCTGTTTCATTTATTTATCTCCACAGCAGAGATCAGTGTAAAACAAATTGTCTGAAATCCTCAGAGCAAATGGGAAAAGACGAGAGGTGGATTCATTTTAAGGCCCAGTAGCTTTGTGTCTTCCCCTTTCAATAACACTGATAACCTAGGTGTAAAACATGTAATGCCTTAAGCAATCAATAGCGTGGTTTAAAGCTTATCACTTTAGAGAGAGAAGGAGCGAGCAATTCCCAGCGTGAGGAATGCCAGGGCTTAACAATGGGGCTAGGAGGAGAGGTGTCAAGCCTTTGGCTTGATTGTGTGCTTTAGAAATCTGCATGATTGCCTGCAAAGAGTAAAAATAAATAAATAACTAAAAAACGCTCCCACAATGATTTCAGCTTCCCCTGCCTCGGAAGCAATAATCACATTTGCACACATCATGGCATACAAGGCAAGCCGAGCTCCTCATTCATTTTGAATGTAGGTTTATTTGCTGAACCAGAACAGCTGAGACAGCTTAAAGTAATAAATATCAGCTGACACCCTCTGCTATTCAGCACAGTAATCCCAGAAACAATACATCACTGCAAAACAACAAACACGCATCCTATCTTCTACCTAATCTGACCACAACCTGAATTCACAGTGATTAAAACTCTGCCTGCTGCCATTGGGGAGCTGGGGCAGGGGAAGACAGACCGCTCCGGCACCAGCACGGCAAGCGTCATAAAGCAGAGTTTATGATGGGATTTACCATGGCTGGGAGCCTGGCTGCATCAAGCATGTAACGAGGGCAAAAGAATGACATAGCAAAATGCAAGAGGGAAGGTGAACTCCAAACAGGCTTGAAATACGTAAGTAGGTCACCGAACTTTTAAAGCAGGAATAGATCTAAAAAACTCTCTTCTGTCATCAGTTAATTTACAGGAAAAATTACATTTAATTGTAAATATCTCCCTGCCTGACAGCGACAAAAGGGAAATGAACATGCTCAGCTCTACGTGTGTTGTATCACAGAGATATGTGTAAGGCACCTTCCTCATTTTCAGCCACATGCTGCAGCTACATCCGTGGCTTCTCGTGCAACTTTCTTGAGGGGGATGTTCTGCAGTGTCCCCAAAATGCAATGGAAAGCAAAAAAAACTAATAGAAATGTTTCCTGTTTTTCTACCTAAGGTTTGAAGTGGGATGTAGAGTTGGGAAGATAGAGAAACACAGGGAAGCTGCTGCAAACACAAAGAGCTACTATGGGGAAGGCATAAGGGAAGCAGGAGACGGTGCTTGAAAGAGTCAAGTCCACAAGGAGTCAACTGTTGTCATCCTTTGTCCCTACACACTCTGTCCCTGTATCTGCATGCTTAAAAGATGGCTCTGTGTAGAAAGTACAATCCCTACAGTAACATTTAGATCTTGATAGATGTCCTTGGGCTGCTTTGTTGAGACACAGAGACATTGGCAGGTACTTGGAGGAAGGAGACAGATAGGATATTAGTATTCCAGCCTCAAGTCAACCCTGGGAAAACTAAGCTGGGCAAAGATTTCAGATCTTTCAGCTTTGCCTCTCTTAGCTCCTTAACAAGCAGCTAGTAAACTTTACCAAAGCAAAGAGAGAGAACTCCAGGGAAGAGGATAATGCTCCTTGCAGAGAAATGCTGCTCGGCACAGCCCTGCCTTGCTGCACTCACATCTGCTATGGTGCCAAGGGAGTTGTACTCTCACGCCCTTTGGGAAAGGACTGGTAGAGCCTTCCCCTGGAGAAATAAAAAGTCCTGCTTGAGATTAGCCCACTGGTTGCTAATTCTCTGTGTTATCAGCTTTGTGGTTCTGGGAGTGAAGTAATCGGGCCTCAAACACAGCGGAGAAGTCCTTTCCACCCCATAAAAAGCTTCCTGATTTCTGTTCCTCTGCAAGCCAGGGAGCAGGCAAGGCCACAAACTTGTGACCCCTAATGTGACCTTAAGGACAGCAAAGCTTAATCCTTTCATGTAATCCTCTGTCTGCTATAACAAACTGGGTCAGGGAAGTGCAAAATTCTCCATCTCTAGCATTTTTGGTATGCGCTATTTTAACTGTCACTTTCTTCTCCCTCTGCACAGCCAGGACTGTGCCTTCATTATCTGTCATTTCTTTGCACCTCCAGTCATCGTACAGGCTGGCTTTTTCAGGCTCCCCCAAGTACATTACCCATTGTTTTTTGCCTGGGTGCAAGCTTTGCTTTTGTGCTCTGAGACCTTGTCTCCCTGATGCAGCACTGTAGACTCCTCCTTACCCTGCTTAAAAATCATAACACTTTGCCTCATAATCAGGAAACGTGGTTGCTTTTCCACAATGAGCTCTGGCTCTTCCTGCCCCAGGAGAGCTGCAGTCATCAAAACTGGTTTTAAATCACATTTACAAGTAGCCCCAGAACGCTGTTAAGATGTGGAAGATCCCCATCTACCCTGCCTTGGCTAAGACATCTTTAAGACAAGACCTAGCTCTGAGCATAGAACATTTCCAGGGGCAAATGTCCTGTTCTTCTGTTCTGAATCTCGTCCTTAAGAAAGTGCTGAGCTGCAGCATCAGCCTAACCTGGGTCTCAGGCCTCGTTCTCAGCTGGGTTGGAGCAGCCAGGGAGGAGAAGGCAGCTCAGCCCATCCCACAGTCCTTTGGGCCTGACCATCTCTGGCATAAATTAGGGAAGGTTAGTGGCTACTCAGTTCCACTGGCTTTTAGAGGTCTCCAGGGGGCCATTATGCTTGGGAGACTCTGGACACAATACGTGGCAGCATCGTTCTGGAGGATGATTCCTTGGGGCAAACTGAGCTCCTGCTGCCTTGACTGGGGACTCTTGCTTCAGACAAGAAACAAGCTGCAGAGCACAGACCAGTCCAAAGCCTTGATACACACCCTGGCCCCTAAACAACACCTCTGGCAAGAGGGCAAGCTGCAAAGCAGAGGAGTCCTGCCTGCTCTCATCCCACCCCAGCCGGCCAGAGTGGAAAGTTTGTAGCTTCTGCACACCAAGGAGTACAACTGGAGATCTAGCCACAAAACACCACCTCATGAGAGCCTACACGGCACCAGATTGCCGTTGAGAGGCAATGGTTCCCTTATGTTTCTCTGCTGACATTGAAGATATCTGTCTCACTTGCTGTATGCTGTGCAAAGGTCTCAATGCAAGCTAGTGCAGGACTCTGCTCCAGAGGAAAGGCCCAAACAGCTGTGGCTGGGAAAAAAGGCTTTCCTGCTTTCCTAACTAGGGCTAAAGGACAAAAATCAGACCCGAGCAGACATTTTGCTTGAAAAAGCCTCCAAGCACAAGGGATGCCACCCCTCCCTCAATGGCACCAGGAATTCTGCTTAACAAGACCAGTGCTGCCCACAGTTACAGGCAGCAGGTAATGAAGTCTTCAGATGGCAAACAGGGGCTACCATCTGGTACCCCGAGGACACTACATGAGGTTTCCAGTTAACCCAGTCACCTCTTTTCTGAGCCTGCCCAGGACATTGCTGGGCCCCTTTTCCAGAGTCTCCAATGGTTAACTGTAAAAGGGAAGATGACAACATGGATTCCCTCCTTAATTAACAGTTTTATTAAATAACCCATTTCAAATAATAGTTAAATTCTCTAAATTTATATCATTCTATTAACCATAATCTAATCTCATTAACCTTGAAATCCCCAGTCTTAACTACCCAATTCTATACACCATGGTGCTAGCAGCTAAACTAATTAAATGACCTTCAAACTATTTCTCCTTCATGTATTGGCATTATATATCTTTGCTCATTGCTCTTCCTTCAAGCTATCACAAAAAAATCTTGCCCTATGAACTCTGTTCCTGCATGTCCTCAGTACTAGATATGTCACCACTCTTCCTTGCAAAATCTGTCAGCAATGTCTCCAGTTTTAGTCTAGCTAATACATTCCATCAGCAGCAACGGTTAGGGTGCTTGCGCCTTGGCTTTCATTCTGAATTCCTGATTTCATTCTGAATACCTGATGCTTCCATGTCTTCATTTATTTTGCTGTCACTCATTGTCATTTTTCAAAGAAGTCCTTAAAGCAGTGACCTGAGATTTAACTACACAGAGAGCTCCTGCTCTAAGCTACTGGTAGAGATATTGCGTACCGTGATCCTCAAAAACATCTTTTCTTAATCTCATTCTTTAAACAAGTTCTTCGTCTGTTCCTCTAAATTTTGAGCATCTTGACCTCTCCCTTAGAGTCCCTGGACTGAAGGCACCATTTCTTCCTGGGTTGATCCAGGTTTAGTTTAAAAGTCACCTCCCAAACCATTTTGTTCAACGAATTTCCAAGGAAAGGGCGAGGCTGGAATTCTTGCTGTCTGATTTGACAGGGCTGGAGTTATGGCAGAAGAGAAATATAGGAGCTCTTTTTCTATAAGCCATAGAGAGTTTGTGACTTCCTTGACCTTTCTGCAATAATCATTTATGGAATAAGCAGCAGTATTCAGGGCACCGAGACTGCAGACAACAAAGCAGGATGTTATCAGGCCTGCATCTAAATGAATTTGTCTAGATAAGCATGATGGAGAAAATATATAGGCCTGCAAATACTTGTATTTAGCTCATCTAGTGTTTTCTGGAAGTGAATGCAGAAGCAGATTTCATTTCCCCAGCAGAAGGTACTGGGCTGCATATTCTCCTCTGTTGAATGTACATGGATGCGCTGTACTTCAAGGAGAAGGCACAGTGAGAAGGTGCTATCAACCAAGAAGTGTGCAGGCCACTCCAGAGAGCCCACAGGTCATCTTGAGAAGGAGGCATTTTTCAAAGTTCATGAACAGAAAGTGTCACTTTCTATCATTTAGTTCTTCCACATCCAGCACACGTCCTTGAATTTCATCTGCCACTTTACTGCTCCTTCACAGCTGGAGAGCTCACTCCATAAACTAGAGGAGGGCCAGAAGGTGGGAAGAAGGTGACCTGTGCCTGGCTGCAACCCTGTGAACTGCAGCCTCACTTTCTTGGTCACATTTCTTTGGACTCGAATATACATTGCCATTGTGGAATGCGTTTCCCTCTACCACCACCACTTCAAAGTAAGAGTTGAAGCCTCTCACAAGACTGGCTGCAATATGGCTGCATTTGTACCTTAGCTAACTAAATAAGGCCCTTTGGAAGATGTCATCTACTATGTTTATTGTTAAACATCAGGCTAAGAATTTTAAATCAGAATAACTGCTGTGCCAGCATCCCCTTTCTGGATGACAACGGAAAGAACAGGAAAGAACAGGATCTCCCTTGCTCTGCTCTTCCCTCCCAGTCCATGGCCCAGGCTGTTCCTTGTTCAAAAGGTGCCTTCAGACCTTAGTGGTCAGTGCCTGCCTGCAGATCTCTTCTTCAGAAATTCACTGAGTATTTCTCTGAACCAACTGATACCTGTGGTCTCCACAACATCCTACGCCAGTAAGATCCACAATTTAATTATGCAACTCACAAAGAAGCACTTATTTTCATTTCTTTTAAGCTGCTGTCTGATTGTTTCATTAGGAACAGCCTTCCTCTAGCAGTGTGAAAAATAGCATATAGTCTATCTGACATTTGCATACCTTATTTTATAAATCCTGCAGATGTTCCCACTCTCTGTCCTCTGTCTTCCAACCTACAAGTCCTAATTTATTTATTATCACTGTATACAGATGCCACTCTGTGCCTCAACAGAGGACTCTCAGAACTCTTCTAATTCTCAGAGGCATATGGACACACCTTTTCTGATGAGGGTAGTTAAATGATAGAAGAGTTTCCCTAGAGAGGTTGTGGAATCTCCATACTTGGAGATACAAATTGATTGGACGAGGCCCTTAGCACCCTCCTCTAGACTTGCAGTTATCCCTGCCTTAAACACGAGATTGGTCTAAAGATCTCTTGAGGACACTTCAACCTAATTTTTTGTTGGACTCGAAGATTCTACTGATAATAAAATCTTTTTAGATGGGGCAGAAGCATACATCAGTATCATGTTCAAGGTATGGGTCCACCATGCCTTTATTATTAAAAGAACTGTTTTGTGGGATGTTTCTTGCTTGCTTTCTGATAATTCTCTAGCATTTGATTTTTCCTTTCTGGCCTTTGATAAGCACTAAGCTACTGCTCCCAGTGATCTGCTTCTGAGTTATGGCAGCTAATTTTGAGTCCATCATCACATGTGTATAGTTAGGATTGTTGTTCCTCGTGCATCATTTTGTGCTTGTCTGCACTGAATTTCATCTGGCGTTTTACTGCCCACTCAGTACTGTGGGCTCTTTCTGCAACTCTTCATACTCAGCTTGAGATCTGACTAACCTGAATAGCTCTGTAGCATCTCCAAATAAGGCTTTACTAAAACTGCAGTGAAGACCTCTTCACCATCCTGGTTCTTTAAATATCAGTGAAGGGAGTACTCCTGACTGCTCGGATTTCGAGCACTGCAAATATTTCATTAATTCAGGAAAGCCTAAGAGTGAAATAAACAAACCTAGGTCCCATTTACATTACAAAGAGCTACTGTGCTGCAGGAAGTGGCTACAGCACGGAGCTCAAGACACAGCTATTACAGTTCAGCCCAGGAATACAGCTCAGCCCGCTCGGTGGGTTTTTGCTGCCCCCCATGCTGCCATTAGAAGCAGTCCTTGCCCCGTCTGCAACTCCTGCGCTTGTCTGGATCAGAAAAATTGATCGGTTTCTCCCTGGCGCCTGGGTTGAGCGAAATGCCAAACGGCATTAGCAGCGAAGGTAAATCAGATTTCTAAAGTGCACACTTGTAACAGTCAAAGGGGTTAATAGTAAAAGACGATTTGTTTTGTGAAAATGATTAACCTGACAGCAGTCTCTTTAAAATAAATCAATGTCTTCATTGGCCTGGCCAAGGGGTCCTGGGAGGGGAGGTGATGGCTCTCCGCTTTCCCTGGCGCGGAGAGATCCCGAGGGCCCCCAGCAACCCTTCCCCTCGGTTCGGTGCCGCCCGGGCGTGGCTGCGCTGACCCCCCTTCGTGAGGCAGGCGCTCCAGCCCCGCCCTGCGCAGCCACGGGCTCTTACAGACGGCCTGCTGGCACAGCGAGCCTTCTCCAGAGCCTCACCTGGACTCCCTCTCCTGAGAGAGCTGAACAAGACTGGATCTGCCAGACTCTGTCCCGGATTGTGTGCAGGTTCAGTCCCTCAGCGATCTCCGAAGCAGGGGCGGCCGTCAGCAGATCCTGCTTGTTAGCGAATATGAGCACGGGGACTCCGCTAAGCTTCTCTTCTTCCAAAAGCTCAGCCAGCTCCTGTAGCGTTTACAAGGGAGTGGGGTGGGGAGAAGATGGAGAGAGGGAAGGAAAGAAAACCTTCAACCGCCAGTGGTTGTCTCTAATTAGAAATATATTTAGGGCAAATGATGGAAGAGTGTGTTCCACTGAAACTTAGATCTTATTATAAGAGAGCAAAAATGTATACAATCATCTCTGCCCAAGGTTCAAAAGCTATTTCTTCCAATTACAGGTTACAAAAATCTTCATCTTGGTCTGAAATTAGCAGTTGCCTTAAAGGCTACAACTCTGTGTTTTACCAGTCCCTGCTCCCAGGAGACCAAAACTGATGAAACAGCAAAAAACATGTAAATTTGCAGTATGAGGAATCTGTCTTAAGTTATTGCCTGACTGGCATTTGTACCTGAACAGCCGCTGACACCAGCCCTGGTATCTTCACTAATAATGAGTTTCAGGGCTTTGTTCCAAGCTTTATACGCTGCAATCTGAGCAGGAGAGGACTGTTTTTCGCCCCAGAAATGGAAATCTCCCTCCCAAAGAAAGTGCCAATGCTTTTGAAGGCACTGGTTAGCTGAAGACAAAGCTAGATCAGCTTTACTATCTGGATTTTGGCTCCATATGCACAGCACACACTGGGTGGCACCTTAAGAAATGGGTTTGTTCGTTCAAAGCTGGGTGACTCAAAGAGATTTTTTTAATAGCTCAGACCTGAATCTGCAGTGTATCAACAATGGCTGAAGCACTTCATGTCTAGGGTTGTGCAATGGCCTCATGTGAAACAAGCACGCAGTCTCAGGTCACTTCCCTATGGGAACATATGACAAATCCAGCAGAACTTGAACCTGTAGGGATTGCTGGCCTTGCAGAGGAGTACATGAGATTTTTGTGAGCTCTTTATTTAGCTGGAGAAGTCTCATGCTCTCAGATACTGTCCTGACATCTTTCATCCACTGGCTAGAAACTTTTGGATTAAATGAGTGCAGTCGGGGAGATGCTAAACTGCGGTGGAAATCTGACTCCATCCCCCCAAAAGCAATGTTTGGTTTGGAAACCAGGACCAGAGAATGGACTTATAAACAGAGCTGGCTGGGAATTTTTCAACAAAATAGGTCTTTCATCTGACACGGTTGATTTATTGAAACCAAAAGTGTTTACGGAAATATGAGGGGTCCGGGCTGACTCCGCCTGACTCAGACAAGTGCTCGAAGTTTCTGCTTCCTCTCCCTCTCTTTTGCCCAATGAATATTTAATTGCTGATAGAAAATTAAATAGCCCCAACAGGGGAAAGATTACCCCCACCCCTAGAACAACCAAGTGTTCTGCTGTTAGGGTGTGTCCATGATACTTGAGGGGCGAAAAATCAAGTGCCTTCTTCAAATCAGGCAGAACAGAGAGCATTAAACTAAATCCCCTATTTCTGGTGGGTAAATCTGTTGTTAGCTATTTGGGGCCACTGTCACTTTCTGAATTTTACACAAGAAAGTTCAAAAGTCTATTTTTCTTCCATTTTAAAACACAGAATGTTACAAAACATCAAAACTTTGCAAAATGGAAATCTTCTTTTCTGGCCAGTCCTAGTTACAAAGTTCTTAGTTTTTTTCAATTACATCCAAAAGACAATCAAGTCAATATGATTTCCATTTCAACTTTGTAAATAAGAAAATAGGATTCCTCAGGGTCTTGGTTTGGCAAGGTTTAAAGGACTCAGAGAAGTTTGTGCTTTCAGCGTTGGGCTCGATTAGCTGTTATTGTATAACTTTAATGAAAACTGTTCTATTTAAACAGAATTAGGCTACCTATTTTCCTTGTTTCACATCTACCAAAATAATCTGCATTGATGTTGAAAAGCAAGTCTCTCTTGAAATGCAAATTTCCCTCATAAACAACAAAATCATCTTCCTAACTTTTGTGAGCAAGGGGCACTCAGAAGCACCAAGTTACTTCAAAGGAAGCTGGGCATAAGTAACTTACCTGACCCGTTTCTTCAAACCGCTTCCTATCTGCACTGTCAATGACATAGATCTGAAAAAGAAATTAAAGGAAAAGTTAATCTTTCCAGAAGACATTCTTCCACAGTATCACATACTTAAGTAAGCCGAGCCAAATAATTATGCTTTTGGGCACAAAAACTCCTGGTATTATTTATAGCAAATGTTGACAAAACTTCATGACGTTCTGAAAGGAAAGGAACCACCTCTTTTGAAGTTGGAGGGGTGGATAGCCACGTGGGTACAAACAGAAGAGCTGGGAGCAGTACTGGGGATGCATCACCTCCACACCATCTGTTATCTGAAGAGAACAGGGGTCTGCCTGGTGTCTTTTCAAATGACTGGAAGCTGAGCACAGGAGGGCAAAACCTGAGGAGCCAGATGTGGTCTTTTGCCTGCAAAAGGAGGGTGGGCATATGGATGATGTCCATAACCAGGCAAGAAATACCCTCCTGAATGATTTTCACCCAGGGTCTGACCAGCCTTGGGTGGGAACTGATTAGAAGATCACCACCAGATGCCCCCACCTTCCACATTAATTTGGAGGTGGGGCAAGAAGCCACCTCTATAAAAACTGACACTGCTTGCAGTGGTGTTAGGAGGTTTGCTCAAGTAGTGCCTGTGTTGTCTGAGGATTCTGGCTATTGGAAGGACTGCCTGACTTCATGGCAAGTGGAGTTCCTACTACAGCAGGGCCACAACATGAAGGTGTCTCTGAGTCTCTACTCTATAACTGGGCTCATGGCCTGGCTGCTACCATTGCCCATAGCTTGGCTCCTTGTCTGGCTTGCTCCCTTCTTCATGTCCACTCTAGTGGGTGAGTGCATGGACTTGTTCCTCCCTTTGGTTGTCTGGCACTTTGGATCTCTGGTGTGTGATGTGGGAGTGGAGGCAGGAGTTTGGCTGCTGGTCTGCCTGTTAATGATAATAGCATTCTATGTTGAGGAAGCGGTCAGCAGAAGAGACCTCTAGGAGTAGGTGTTTGGGAATGCAGGCTGCATCCAGTTTGCAAGACTCTACCTCCAGCTGCCAGCTTGTCCACCAAGATGATGGAGAAGACAGAGTAGCTGGCTCACAAAGACAGACAGCAGAGTCCTGCCACCTTCTCAGGGCTGGGCATTGCATCTCATGGTCCACAACGAGGTCACAGACAGACACCTGTCCTCTGGGATGGAGAAGGGTGGATGCCCTGCCTACAGGCTCCCTGCTTGAGGAGGGGGTCTTCACCCTCTCAAAGCAGTATGGCACTTGCTAATCTCTTTCTGTAAATGTACGTAAGCCTTCTTAGTGAAGGCAGCTCTAGGTCAGCACAGGCTCAATGGCTCCTTGAAGGTTCTCCTAAATATGTAATTAGCAAGTCTGGCCATCCTCCTTTCCCCTAGCAATGCTACTGCAGTTCAGAGTGCACAGGCATCAAGCTACATATAAAGAAATGGGGAACCCCTCAGACAAGAACAGGCTGGCATCCCTTTAAAATTGCTTGGTATAGGAAGGTTTTTGAAGGAGAAGGGTGCTGGGACAGCAGACGGGGTTAGGACTGGTGACAAACACTGAGCATTTTGCTTCCAGTCCCTGCCATTCCCCATCAGTGGTGATTGAAGCTGCTAGAATGTCATCTGCATGCTCTTTGGTTGCTTACAGGGAGCAAGTGTCAGCCTGGGTTTCAGGGAATAGACGAGCACAGCACTCTGCCATCAAGATAAATGGCATCCTTGTAGGTACTCTCAGCGTAAGACTCCACACTTTCAGGGTAACTTTGACCAAACAGTAGGGGGAGGGAAGATCTCTAGCAGCAATATCTATTAACCTGTAGGCACTCCCTCAATGAGCAGTGCTATTGTTTGAAATGGGACCAAACATGCAGTAGGAGGGTCTGTATGCCAGGCCCGAGGAGGTAACCCTGCCACCCTGGAGACCCCTCTGCTGACCACTTGGGGTCTGCAGCCCCCCCGGGGCTGGCAGCAGGCAGTGACAGAGGCCAGGGGACATGCGGCAGGGCCGGGCGCAGCCGCGCGGGGACGCATTGGC